TAAAATTTTCATAATTGAAATTATAAAAAAAATATACTATTAAGTTTATATATAATTTTAAAATATTACACCCTACCCTTAATAAAATATATAACATGTAAAATCTTGTGCTAAACAAGTTTGCTTAGAAGACACAAATAGGTTATTTTAGTAAACTTAATTTTTTACTAAGACACCCTAAAAAAAAAAATTTTTTTATAAAATTTTATTAATATGTTTTAAGTAATTTTATTCTATTATATGTAATTCAAAAAGGATTTTGGGCTTAAAAGTTTATAGTAGATTTATATGTTTTGTTGTAATTTTTATTACAATTTATTACGCGGTGACATTTTCCCTGACTGTTATATATACGTAATAAAAAGTTTTTTTTGCAATAAATGATACTCAACCGGCTGACCCGAATTTAACCGGCTCGGTTCGGTTCAGTTACCTGATTAAGGCTTATCCAGTTTAAGTCACTAATTATCTATCTTGAAAAATCTAAGATTTCCGTGCTTGTTTTAATAAATGCTAATGTGCTAATGTTTTATAATGTATTCTAAAATATTTTCGCCATTTTATCCATAAAAAAATATTTTCGTCATACAAAAATAACTTCGCCATTCAAAAATATTTTCACCATATTAAAAATCTTTTCGACATACCAAATTATTTATATTTTAAGCAGTAGAAAATAATTTCGCCAATTTAGATTTCGCCAAAGGCAAAATAATTAGATACCCATGTGTACCTCTGAACAAATAATTGAAGAGGAATACATCTCGAATCTCACTGCAATATTTGTGACTCGGTTTGATACGAAAAAAGGGAATATGATTGAATGGCAATATCCTGAAGGCAAATAAATAGTGATTATACAAACTTATTTTAATGAAACATATTGAACTTGTTTTGCGCTTATAGATTTTGATCTTGATGGTATCGAGTTTCAATCAATTCCAAGCGGATTACATGCCGTAAGGCAGGATGTAATGTAATGTTTTACTATCATTATATTCAAACTTTAATTAAACATTAAAAAAAAACATTAGACTAACTTTGTATAAACAATAGATATTTCTCTAGACCCCCATTTGTTGGGCTTAGCGTATTTCTAAACGAGTCCACGATGGATGAGTCACATGATCGAGGGGCGCATATGGCAGCGGTCGGAATTTTAGTGTCTCCAACTGCGGAAACTGGTCTTTGTGGCAGACCATGGAAGCATCTCGGATTTTTGCAAGATGAGGTTGTGTAGGTGTCGCATAGTCCAAGTGGTTTTGAATTATGAGCTATAAATAATCCATCTTATGTTCCTTAATACAGGCGACATGTCCACTTCTCAAATGATTACTCTAGACTTCGCCAATATTTCGATAAGCATAATATCCGGTCTGACTTTCTAGAAAATCATTTAGATTCTATAGAACCATATGGTAATTCGACCACATCACGACGACCACGTGCCTCAACAGTTTCAAGCAGCCGGGGTTTACCAACTGAAACGAGCACTAGCAGTTATCAAACGCCAGTCTCGGTGAGCAATCAAATAATAATCTATAATTTTAATCTTATTTTCATATATATTGATGTATATATATATAACATGTACAAATTTTTCAAGTCGACACATCCTGCTCATCATTTTCCGGATTTTGTCCGTTTGTGTGGTCCTACTATTTTTATATTATGGAAAGCGGCTCTGCTTAAAAAGCGAATTCTATTTTACTCCCCTCCTCCAGTAGAGGACATTTGTTATTCTGGTGATTTTATAAATTGTCTATTAAGTTATATGTAAATATATATTCTAAACTTTTTTTTTTTATCACCGATTTGTAGTTTACGGAACATGTCTTCTTGCTAATGTTCCATCGGCAGTCACCCGATCGTTAAATAATAAAGTTGACAAAATTAAGCCATTATTTAGTGTTGGCATTAATGATATTTCGATGGTTCAGTCTATAGAAGGTGGATACGTTGCGTGTATGTTTGAACTTTTAATTACCTTTTTTTTTTTTTAAAAAAAAAAAAAAAAAAATTTATGTTTAACTTTTGTTTAATTCTATGTTTTATTTGATTTTTAATTTATTATTATTTTTAATTTATTATTATTTTTTATTTTATTATTATTTTTTATTTTATTTTGATTTTTTTTTTAGGTACTACTGATCGAATACTTCAACATAAAAACCATTTGTTTGATCTTTTAGTAAATATGCCTGCTCGCGAGTCGAATCACTCACATCCAACTTTAGTCGCATCACCCGGGTCACATTTATCTACAAACATAAATGCTACTGATATTAGACGTTATAGAGTTTTGCTCAAAATATTGGCATCTTATGGTGTAAACTATTTAGATGGGTACGAGGAAGATGGAGGCAATTTGACTGACACTTGGCGTAAAATGATGTTTGGTGGGTGGTTTTGGTGGTATGGGAGAGATGGGTATCAAAAATTAGGTGATGGTGAGGGAGGTGAGGAAGGCGGTATGCTATTGAGTTATCATGACGACCCCTCACAAGATGAGCAAAATGTTGACGGATCTAAAGATGTTCCGGAAATTGAGGTAGAACTAATAAGGTACATTCATATCTCTATTGTTTTATTGATTAACTCTTGTTTAACCTAATTTTTTTTCTTTACAAGATTCTTTCAAGCCTTAACAACTAGTCTTTTCAATATGTTGCGATCAATGATCGCAACATCTAACGTGTACGAGTCTGACGATGAGATAACTTTCCTTTATTCAGAGCACTTAATTCAGCTTGGATTAGATCCACGTGACGACGGAGCATTTGTTGAAGAGTTGGCAGAAATGTATTTCGGTAAAGAGGTTGAAGTTGTGGGAAAAGGTGGTAATATTTTAATTCAATCATGTTCGGAGTTGTGTTCTTTGGATGAGGTATGTTGCTGCTGTCGGGTTTAATTCATGAATGATTTAATATGCATTTATATAGCCATTTTCAGCTTATCTATATTCCAACCTCAAATACGAAGGCAATAACATGTGCGTGCCATTTCTTTTCAAAATTTATATTTGTATTGTAGTTATTTATTTATTTATCTTGATAACAACTCTTTAAGGGTTATCGACACAAGAGTATGGATTTATATTAATAAATTAATTGGAATAATGCGAGGTGAAATTTTGGTTTTTAATTTGGTTTTTAATGTATACTATAGATATCTGGGGACAATTAACAAATAAATGTAATCGCTATTTATTATCGGATAAATAAGATATTGTAAATAAGAAAACTAGTGCTGTTAATCTTTTAATGTACAGAAATTTCGCATTTTAAATGACTTTAAAGGATTATTATAGAACGTGAACGAAAGTCAAGAATTTGGGATTTGAACTTAACAGTTGATATATTATTTGTTTAGATACTACTTTGCACAGTTTTAGTTTGAGAATGTTATGTAATGACCTTTTTTTTGTCTGCAATGATGTTTATTGCTTTTATTTTTTTTACTTTAGAAACATTATATGTTGTCTTGGTAGTAAAGAAACATGATTGCGTCATGCAACTATACTTGTTGCCAAATTCAAACTAATATCTCTAAAATTTTATTAATAATCTAAACAAATAATATATATTCTTATTGCCATGTATAATATATTTACAAAAATATTAAATTTTTTATTTTGTTTTGATTTAAATTTTTATAAAAGCAATTTGTTTTTGGGGGGTTTAGGATTTGTCCGAGTTTTGCCTGCAAGTATAATGAAACGTCCCGGAACGTCCTACATAGGTTTGCTTGGCAAATCGGTCAGCAAAATTTTAAATCTCTTTTTTAAAAGGACTCGTTGACGTGAAAACTTATCGTCCGGTGAAAATCTAGCTGGATGTGCGGATTTGGTAATGCCACCGCTTGGACTACGTTTCTGTAAAAAAAGAATAAATAATTTTATTATATAATAAAATTTATATGCATAACAATTAAAGATTACCTTGAGAGTGTAGACACGGTTACCATCACCGTCGAGATAATACATTAAATGCATCTCGTTTCTATTATGAAAAAGTTTTTTAATTTTTTTATATATTTTGACTAATCATCCAATTAGATCGCAATATCAGGTGTACCGTTACACGACCAGAAAAATTCAAAACAACATAGTCTAATTTAGAGTTATTACCCGGGTCAGAAAATTGTGACCCGGATCAAAGTAATTCAGGTCAGGGGGTCAATCCGGGTCATAACCCGGGTCAACGGGTCAAATAGTAGGGATGTTAAATTGCGAATCCAGTCCGGTCCGATCCTAGGATCTAAAAAGACGGTCCTGGACTCGATCCTTTAAATCACATGAAAATACAATACATTTTATAGGACTTAGATCCTGTATCAGATCCTGAATTGAATCTATCAAATAAGTTCATCCAATCAAATTAATTTTGTATTGTTATCATATTTCAATTCAGGATCCAAGTCCTATAAAATGTATTGTGTTTTCATGTGATTTAAGGACCGAATCCTTACCGATCCTGCAGGTCCTTGTAAGGACCGGTTAGGATTCGATCCCAAAAGACCGATTAACATCCCTATCAAATAGGCAAAAACCAAAATCTGATAAATTTTTCGCTACAAATTACCTAAAGTGAAATAAATAATACCAAGTTTGCGCAGGATTGGTATAAGAAAAGGACTAGGTTTAATTATTGCAGGATTGATAAGGCTTGAACAATTAATACGTATCTTCATAAATCAAGGTCATCTTAATCAATAGGTCAAAAATGTGTCGAGAATTAAATTTTAATTAGCGGAAATTACTTTTAACCATTTAAAAAACATGCTTGTCATTAAGATAAATAAGGTGCAGAACATTTAGTTTATTACAATAAATAATAAAAAAATATTCGAAGAGTTCTGTAATTCCGATCAAATAATTTTTTTACACCAAATCACCCTTGTTTTGCACTGGTTTATCCAAACTTTACAAATAAATATTTTATCATTTATAAATCTTTGTTATATCAATACACTAATGTATTGATAAATTTAATAACAATAGAATTGATATAAACTGGTCGGGAAGATTTTTGAGAACACTCAAAATTCTTGCAGGTAAATTTTAATCCCAATGAAAGGTTTGAGTAATCATCGGTGAAAGGCCCCTATCGATTGTATTTTTTTAACTTTTATTAAATACGGAAAGCTTGAGTGATGATTAGTGAAAAGTCTCCATTTTGTATTTGAGTGCTGTCAGGAGAAAACTTGTCATCAGGTTTTCAATTATATAATTGAAAGCCTGATGGCAGGTTTTCTCCTGGTGACAATCATTTGTGGTACATACTATGTACTACATAGTGCTGGGTAGAAAGTGCAGGGCCAATCATAATTAGCATGAGCGACGTAATATTGCGATAATGAAAGTTTAAAGTCTATTGTACCTATTACGGTAGATCTACAATAGAATTTTAGAGTCTATTGTGCCTATTACAATAGAATTTTGAGTTTATTATATAATAAATACGTATGTGAAAGTGAATAAATAAGAAATTAGTCCACAAGATCAAACATTTGATTTTTCTTATATAAAACTGATAGTTAAAGAGCCATTATACAATCTTGTGTGTGTTAGTTAGGGGAAAGGTTTGCAGAAAGATGAGTTTGTTAGTAACTAAAATGAGTGCACAATAATCAATAAAACCTTTGAGCAAGAGAATGAATGTAGCTTTTATACATGAGAATACATTTTTGAAATTTTAATTTAACTTATCATTATGTATAAAAGATATAATAAGAAGTGGTTGTTTATGACTTTAATGTGCAGAGTGTAACACATTGGGTTATATAATAACTTTTATGTCTGTAAGTTGTAAATGTTTATAAAAAGTTACATTCACATTAAAGATTATGTGGATTTATGAAATTTTTTTAAAGCAATAAAATTCTTATCATTGTTGTTTGCATATATGTACATTTATATTCAAGATCTATATGAAATTATGAAAATTTTTAAATATGTTTGCAGAATATAAATATTTATAAAAAGTTATATCTGTTTATTAAATTTTATATAAAATTAAATTTTTTTTTATAAAACCCTAAATTTTAATATTAAAAATTTACTACTTTTTTAAACTTGAACATGAACTTTTATTTAAATTTTATTGTTAAATACTTTTAAGTTGTTATAATAATAAATATTTATTAGATATTATTTTTAAAATAATACAAAAATCAAATAATTGTTCTCAGGCTTGGTTTTATAAATCTTATTATAACTCAATCATACTTGTAGTTTTAGAGCTATCTATAGACTTTGTAAGTATAAATATTTTTTTTTTATATTGATTATCTAATATCTAATTTATTTTATAAAATTTGAAATAAATTTTAAACTAATTTAGTGATCCAAATAATAATACAATGAATAATATTAAATATATAGAATATTCAGATAGTATGATATTAGTATATAATATTAGTCTAAATATATCAGAAATTAGCAATATGAATAGTTTAAGTCTTGGCAAAATTTTATTCTAATCTTCTATATTATTATCAAAAAGTAATCCTAAATTATATATAGAAAAAAAAAATTGAAAGGTCAAATGATAGTGCAGTTAAATCTTTTTATAAAATAATAGAAACTAATAGTATAAAAACTTGAAAATGTCATTATAAAAGTTGTTGAAACATAAGATATCAAAAAAATAATTTTACTTCAAGCTTTTAGTGACACTTAAGAAATAAGTATTATATATCAAAAACTATAATAGAAAATGATCATATAAAAATTGTATCAAAGGATGATGAAATCTGTAAATTCCAAGTATTAGCAAAATCATCACAAATAACAATTATATAAATGTTTAATACAACAATTAAATATACATTTAATAATTCAAAACAAAAAAAATTCAATAATAATATTATTACTTTTATTATTAAAGATTTTCATCTATTTTTAGTACTTCAATTACAAGTATTTAAATAAATAATAGAAAAACTTGATGCACAAGTTAATGTGCTTAATAAAGGCCATTTAAAAGAAATTCTTTTTAATGAAAATAATAATATTTTACAAAGAATTCAGAGATATGCACTTGATGATAATAAAATTTGATATATATCATATTCACTAATATGTAAATATTAAATAATAGTGATCTGTATATTGAACTAACAATTCACTATATCAATAATAACTTTTAAATAAAGAGATGATTGGTAATATCTTGTATCTTCTATATTGTAATATTATAGATATTTTTAAACATTATTTTATATTATTTTATTGATATTATATTAGTTTTATAT